ACACAGATGTTGTATGTGATTTAAAATGAAGAACTACGTGGTTAGCATAGCGCATGTCGTGCCTCATACACCACTAAAGAAAAACAACAAAGGGTCAAAGACAAATTCACTGAAAAACTTCTGCATCAGTAAGTCTTTAGAATCTAAAACGCAAAACACGCTACTGTACAAGGACGACACCCGTGAATACACCACCATTGTTAACCTTGTCATTTCAGTTAGGGTTTCCAACTACAAAGCCTGCGTTCAGATGTGTCTTTAGGCTAACTGTCTAATCCGCTGTGGCTTGTGTTTAGCTGATACTTCAAGCTAATTACATCTCCATCATTTCCAGAAACAAAATTAAATCAAGCAAGATAATTAACGGACTGAGAGCTTTCTACCCTTGCTGTTGTTACATCAGAGCTTAAGTGTTGCTTTTTTGAGATCTTATTTAACAACTCTGACAGCAGAAACAGCTTTGTTAAAGATTGAGGATAAGCTCTTGTTGCCTAGAGAGCAAAAAGTGTTGCTTATTGTGGTTTCAGCTGAGCTTTTTGAGTAGTTGGAGGCATGCTCCGATCCCAAAAAGCACAGCCTTGCCAACCCTGGTGGTAACAGGGGATCTAATTAGCAAATTAGCAAACTTTATTGTTCATGTAGTGCTTTTTTCCATATGCTTTTGGAAAGGAAAGTCAGCTTGTACCTAGGCATGTTAGTGTTTGAATGTTAAGTAGGGTTTATATTTCCTGAGACACACAGAAGTTAAAGGTTCATTTGGAAATATATACTGAGAGCTTCTGCACTCCACATAAATGAGAGAGTGACAGAGCAATATATTTCATCCCTACTGGCCGCCACCGCAGCTTTGACCTTTGCGCTTCTTATATTGGCTGCTTGTGATGGTGGCTTCTCGCATTAATAGCGCTGGTCCAAGGTGGCTGACAAGGAGGATCGTGGCTGGGTTCTGTTGTTCGATTTTCGAGTCGCTGTCACAATTAACTGTGAAAACAGAAAACGAGAGAAGAAAGAGTGAAGCGGGACGAGGGATCAATAAATGTCACCGCTACATGAGATACACATGAATGCACCTCTGCCTTAGGGTTGGTTGGTTGGTTTATTTCTTTGTATTAACTTTCTGATATCTTTTGCATTAGACATGCAAATGGGGTGGATCTGTGGTGACTTTGGTGAGTGGTATTTAATAAGCTGCACAGCAGTCCCTGAAAGGATTGAAATTCCCTGACTCTGATGATCCTCTCTTACTGCCACAAGACTGACATTTGTGATTTTGTTTTAAAGATCTTAAAAAAACACCTTGGATCGATTGGCTCAAAATTTGGTACACGGGTCACATTCTTGTCTTTTCAGTAAGCACGACTATAACACCTTGATAGAGAGGATAGTGTTGTCCTCCCTGGACTTCCTGGGTTGCTGGAGTCTTCCTCTGTGCACTTTGCATGTTCTCACTGTGCATACATGGGTTATTTTCAGGTACTCCGGCTTCCTGCCACGGTCCAAAGACATGTTTACATCTATTAACCCAGCACGCATGAGTGTGAATGGTGCCTGTCTTCCTGTTCGCCCTGCGACAGACTGTCGAACTGTTCAGTGTGTTTTTTCACTGTAATACAGCTGAAATAGGGTTCAGCCTATAAGTAGTTAGGATGATGGATGGACAGTGGTAGCATTGTACAAACCATTATGCAAATACTTTGGCTTGTGACCACATACCACAGCTAATGACTGTTCCTTAACTGAGCTCAGCTGTACTTTGTAGAAGTATACCAGCATAATTAAGTGCTCAGGCAAAAACAAACATGGTATGTCATAATGTGCATGTTATTTCTGTGACTTTAGATCCAGGTCTTTAAACAACTTCTAAATACCTTTTTTGTTTAAGTTCCATAGAGCGTTGTTATTGGTCATTATTATAAACTCTTAGTTTTCTTAGACACAACAGGAAAAAAATATCCCACGGCCACTTCTCAACACATTTCTTTTGTCCATATTTGTGGAATGTGTTCATGGTGCATGTATGGTAATGCACTATGTTGGACTGGTGCAGTTCATTGTAAACGTTAAATTATATCACAGGTAGCAGATATCAGTTTATATTAAAAGCAATAACAGTGATTAGAGTCACTGAATTCTACCTTTTTATAGAAGCATTGTGGTGCCAGGGGGTTGGAAATCAGCCAAATAACCTCTGCCTCTATCTTGTTGAATTCAATTGGCTAAACCCACAAAGAGCAGTGACTCTCACAACAACAATTGCAAAGGTCAGCTGATTACAGCCTCTACTCAATGCAGGGTTGACATTACTCATAATAAAATTAATGTCATGTGTAAATACAGTTCCTTTATATATCCGTATGTCGTTTTAAAATCACAAACACAGCTAACAATATTGGCTTGGTGGCGAGTAGCCTTCAGTATCTTTGATATCCTATTGCTGTGTGATTTATTACTACTACTGAAGTGGCACATAACCCAGGTAGCTACCGCAACTAAAACAAGGTAGTTGCAGTGGGCTAGCGTTAGTTTTTTAGAAAGAACTTACCTCCTGATGTTTCTTTAGGTTGGAGTCTTTTGAAGCTGAGAGCAGCTTGGTTGCTGGCAAACAGAGTTTGCATCACACGGTCAGATTTCGCCCATTCCTTTCTTCTTTAAATGTGAAGTGTTGTCTGAATTTCCAAGTAAGAAATGCATTCCTGCCCGCACACTGCTGGCTCTGTTTTGCTGGCTTTGGGTCCATAGTGTACCTGACACCACCAACATTAACAGGACACTTACATTAGAGCTCCTTATTACGTGTTTTGTTTGGGTTTACGACAATGCTAGGAATTATCAAAATTAGAGAGGGGATAGGAAGGGGATAGCCTAACATATGAAACAGGAAACACTGCTGTGTAATCCATTTATTTCAACAAAGTAACTGTATTCTAATTATTACCTTTTTAAATGGTAACTGCACAGTTAGTCATATTTTGTATTTTAAATACGTAACAGGAGATATTCTGTTACTCACACACACACACAGGTGAAGAATTTTTTTTTTTTATCCTTCCTGTTTCTTTTTTCAAATATCAGATGGCTGGTAGAAGACGATCTGTGAAATACGAAGCAGAGACAAAAGAAAGCATCAAGTCTGAGGGTAATGAAGTAACAGTAAAAGCAGCACTCTGACAAAGCCAAATGAAGCGTTCATGGCTCAGGCTGTTTATCGTACTGAAGAAGAATGGATGGCTGTAAATGGCTTCTGAAATGGTCAATATTACCTGTACATATAAAGAAGCAGCCCCTTTGAATATTACTGTTCCACTGAATAGCAATTATCAGGTGGAATTACTTCCATGGAGAGGCTAGTTACCGCCCTTTAGTTACTATCATAGCCATTATCCACTCTAATGACCAATCAAAAGAAAGTAAACCATATTATGATGGAGGACTCTAATGCTCGTACGTATAAAGTCTGAAGACCTTCACCCTGGTGACCTGGAAAATTGATCCATATGGAACATATGTTAAACTAAAGAGCACATGAAAATGAACTAAAGTCAAGCATGGAAATGGAAGTCACTTCAATAAACAGGTGGTGAGAGATATTCTGCTACCACACGTCTCACAGTACATCATAAATTATGACTTGATCCCTTAATGAATTTTGCTCACTTCCAAAGGAACAAACAGTCTCTGATTTTATATAAGCTTCATTTTAATGGAGAGAGACATAATATCAACAAAAAAAATCAGGTCAAGCATGCTACATAAAAGTTATAAACTGTTTTTTGTGCATTAAAGTGAGTTAAAGAGCTTCAAAAGAAAAGTGCTCGATTGGACAGAGATCTACTGAGTGCGGAGGCTGTTTGAGTACAGTGAACTTACTGTAATGTCCAGGAAACCAGTTTGAGATTATTTGAGCTTTGTGAAATTGTGTGTTGTCTAAGGAGCTTGGAAAGAAAAGCGTCTGGACTTCTTTAAGTTGCTTGAAGACGTTTCACCTCTCATCCGATAAGCTTCTTCAGTTCTAGCATCAAATGGTGGAGAGTCCCAGATTTAAGCTCTGTGGGAGTAACCCGTCAAGAGGGAAAACGGGTAAATAGTAAATGGCCTGTATTTGTATAGTGCTTTTACTAGTCCCTAAGGACGCCAAAGCGCTTTACACAACCAGTCATCCACCCATTCACACACACATTCACACACTGGTGATGGTAAGCTGCATTGTAGCCACAGCCGCCCTGGGGCGCACTGACAGAGGCGAGGCTGCCGGACACTGGCACCACCGGACCCTCTGACCACCACCAGTAGGCAACGAGTAAAGTGTCTTTCCCAAAGACACAACGACTGAGACTGTCCAAGCTGGGGCTCGAACCGGCAACCTTCCGATTACAAGGCGAACTCCCAACTCTTGAGCCACAATCGCCGATCGCCATTGTAAACCACCGCCTCTGTTCAAAGATGGTCGCTCACAGTGCACATAGATGGCTTCTTTCACTCCTCTTTCAAACCATCTGTCCTCTCTGTCCAAAATGTGAACATTGGCATCCTTGAAGGAGTGACCTTTGTCCTTTAGATGCAAATGGACAGCCGAGTCTTGTCCCGTTGAGGCGGCTCTTCTATGTAGAGACTATGATGATCTTAGACTACGATGACCTGGATGACTGAGAACCTTCACAGACATTAGAGTGGTTTAAGGATCCAGTCCCCAAGTAAGATGTTTTGTATCGAACTATCAATCACACCATACAGACATGTCAACTTGGCCTACAAGACTACCTGTAACGAGCTACGAATCCCTTTTTCAATAATCACAATTGTTTTGCTATATTTATTTGTATATATGAAAAAAAAAAAATTCCAGCAAGACGCTGTGACAACTCTTGCCTGAATGCCATCTGGGATTATTGAATGAATGAAAATTGTTTTTAAAAAATCATGCGGAGCCTGATTTTTTAACTCACTCGGCACCAATTAGATTCTAAAATTCTAAATTTATCCACCATTTGTTTCTCTTCCAGACTGAAAAGCACAAGTCAGATGTTAGACACTTCAGTGTTTCCAAAGCACACATGAAAGCACGCTGAGGCTGTTCACCCATGGGAGACCGTTACACGCGAAGATCAAAACAGCATTTGGCACGGGTGAGTACATCACCGACACACACATATGAACACAAAATGTGACCGGATTCAGTTCAGTTATTCATAAGTATGGAATGCAGACTTAGAGTCTCAATCAGTCATATTAGTGCGTCAGATTGTGCGCCGACTGGCTGGTCAGTCATTATGCTGTGATCTAAACAGGAAGTATACGAGATTTCACAGCTTTGTTTGTGTGTGTGTGTTTTTCAGAAATGGCATTATGCCATATTTTTTGTTATTTTTATAGTGTTTGCTTGTAGATGTGGGCCGTAGCGGTGTGAGAACTCAGTCTTAAACAACCTGACACAATCTGAATTTTGCCACAGGCTATGTATCGTTTGGATGCGTCTCACAGTGGGATCTAGGACCACCGTTTTGCCACATTTGTCAAGGGACTGTCAACTTGCATCTGAAGCAGCCCAAAATCTCTAGAGTGTAAAGAACTTACACATGCACAAACACATACAGACTCACAATCCAGTATCATACAGTCAAAGCTGTGCAGAGCTCAGAGATGCTGTAGGCGTGTTTAGTGTTGGGTTCAGACAAAGAACATCAACATTCAGTGTTATGTGGCACCATCTGTCCCTGAACAGCAAAACTCCCACGTGAGGGCATCTACACACACTTACAAAGAAGCACACACAAACATAGATGGATATACAATAAGTAAATACTCTCATGTCCCCCTCACATGTTCTCATATTTTGCTAATTATCTCCCTTACGGATGCCTGATTTCCCCTCGCTTCCTCCGTCTTTTTCACCTCTGTCTCCTCTCGTCTCCCGCTGCATCTGATAGAGTCTATTTAAGGGGACTGCGCACACACACAAACGCACACACACAAATCGCCCTCTCCCTGTTGCTCTCAGGCTGTCTTTCACTTTGGGAAAGTTGCAGCTTTCATCCAACTTTGACGACTTCACATTAATTAGCTCAGTGGTTTGTTCTTCTGCTGGAGTGTGTGCTAGTTAGCAAAGTGGTGTCTGCTGATATTTGATAAGTGGGTGTGCACTACACTTTCTCTGTGACATTTCGGTGTCTGTCATTCGGAAAAACCACACCCACATTTTGATGCCACGGCATGAGAGACCCTTACCGGCATAATCCCCTAGTTACCAAGGGCCTGGTTTAAGATAAGGAGTAGTAGAATGGCTTTGTAATCAGTGCAAAGTTTCTCTAATGAAACAATGAACTAAAGGAATTTAATTACTTACGTTTCCCTGGTCATGAGGAGACCAGTTGTTTGGCTTTTGGGAGGCATGTTGGCTCCACTCTTCTCTAATAGTTTTCTAACTGGTCAACAGTCCTGGGTCTTTCTAACATTTTTCTTTCATGAGGGAACAAATGCTGTTGTATTAGATCCAGTGTAGTATTGCCTTCTGGATATTGAAGGCCTTCCCGGAAGTAGATTTCTGGATAGGAGCAGATGTTTGAAAATCTGTGTATAGCTTTCAGGACTGATGCAGCCTTTCCAGATGTGCAAGATGCCAATTTCATAGGCACTAATGCGACCTCCTACCATCAGGTATCTTGGCTTTTTGAAAAAAGTGTTAGTAACAAGCCGGATGATCCCTTTCCACTTTAGTAACTTTTAAAGTGAGCAATAGTTCTCCAAGTTTTTTGAAGGTTGTTGAAAGTTTTTTTGGTTCATTTTCACTCATTTTCAGTCCAGTCCTTGTACTTAACCATCTTGGGAATAATGTTGACTCAGGGATTAACCAGTGGTGTGTCTACATAGAACAAAAACTTAGAAAAGAACAATTTTTCAATTGTATCTTTAAACACTTTGTTACTAGCAGCCTGTTGCATAAGCACACGTTCCCATTTCTTTAAATGTTTTTTAAAAGGGGGGAAATATTCCTGCACAGAGCTGACATAGGCATCGATAAGCGCCAGTTCTTTCAGGCGATCCATCACCAAAGGTCTGATGGAGTGAAAGGTTTGATTCAAATCATCATCAATACTGTAGAGAAGGTCAGGAGGGCAACGGTGAGCGTCCACAGCCATCTGTAAAATACGGTGCAGGCACTGTCATGGTTTGAGGCTCAGGTTCAGTCAGTTGTGTTGGAGGTCGTGTTAAAATTAATGGAATTATGAAAACAGTACAGTCAGATTTTGATTCACAATGCAATAACATCCTAAAAAAATTTAATAATTTCATTTTTACGGCATGACAATGATCCCAAGCATGCTGTCAGTGTAGTAAAGACATGGCCAGAAAATCACACAGTGAAACACTATCAGTCATGGATCGGCCTCCCCAGATCTAGAACCTCAACATTATTGAAGCAGTGTGGGATCATCTAAATGCAGCCAACATCCAAAGAAGAGCTTTGAATGTCCTTTAAGAAGCCTGGAGAACTATTCCTACTTAAAGAAATGACAAGAAAGCTGCCTGAGAGAGTTCAGACTGTGTTGAAGGATAAAGGTGGCCATTGACTTGACTTTCAAGCTCCTTGTATTGTAAAAGCTCTGTTTCTCCCTTATATAATGTATTAAGATGTATATTTGCACTTTTCAAAAAATCAGTACACTTTAATATTAAACCCTGGTCACGTTATGTTGTGGCTGCACAGTCAGCTAATGCTTGTTTTGCTCTTGTTGGCATTAATCCACGACACATATTGCTGTTACATTTCACGAAATGTTTGTTTTAAGAGTCTTAGGATTCTACTGACTGTTATTAATATTATTATTGTTATTATGTCTATTATTGCAGGACCTTTACCTTATAATACAAAGTGCTTTGAGGTGACTGTTGTTGTGATTTGGCGCCATATGACTGAAAATGAAAACTGAATTGAATTTCCGTGCAAAGAAAAACTGGCTTTATGAGTGTAACTTCAATAACTTTCAGTAATATTGCATGTATGTTTGTAGCTTTGAAGGGTTAATGAGACTACATATTACCACCACTTTTCAGTTTTATTAGTTTGCCTTAATTATGCATCAAGTGCAAGTACCACAGATCCATAAAGCCACTGCAGACTAAACAAGTTTTGCATTTCTTGGTAAACTGTGTTGAATTATGCCTGACTCTCATTCTCCTGACTTAAGGACTTCTGGTTTTCCTGTAATATTTAAATTTGGGGGTTTAAAAAAAGATGCTCCAATTCTAACCAAAAAGCACTTCCTACCTTAGAGCGACCAGCCTCCTCAAAAAACTTACCTTCTTCTGACACGTAAAATTGGTTTTTACAGAGACAGAAGTCAGAGATGCATACCCTGACATTTTAGAGTATTTTTAGTTGGTGTTTGAACAAGTCAGAGAGTCTGAGTGTCTGTTTTCCTTCCTCACTACCTCTCATGCTGCAGCTCTCATGTGATGATGAGACATTGTGTCATGTGCCCATCTGTCAGTGATGACTGTGCCCTGATATCAGTACAAAATACACATATATACTAAACACATGCATGTTCTCTGTTGAGGAGGAGGAGAAAAAGGCCGTGTCTCTCAAGTTAATTAGTCTCTCTGGCACTCCGCTCCCCTCTTCTCTTCTCCAAAAGAGCACCAAGGTCAGATTACTTCTCATGATGGATCTCCGCATGTGTTCATGTCCCACTTTCTGCCGTTTTTCTCCGTTACACACATAAAGACGCACGTGCTTTCACAATGTCTTTGATCCTAAAGCCAGAATCGATTTGTTTTGTTGATGCAGTAGAGCTACCGAGTGTAATGACCTCTTCACTGTAGCTGCAGGGACAACATGTGTGTGTATGTGTGTGGCTGCAGGGATCAGCCATAATGAAGTGTGAATCCATCTGATAAAAAAAGTGTGTGAGTCGGTGAACTTCCCCAAGGGACTTACACACTGCTTTTACACAGATTACCTCTGCAAGAGTGCGCCTCTGTCTAGTTAAGCTACTTTCACTTCATTTAATGTTAATTTCCTTTTAGTTTGACGTGCAGCTTTTTGATTGTTACAGATTAAACGTGAGTTAAGGCCTCTACACACCAAACGTATAAAATTTGTGGAAATATTTCGTGCGTCAAAAATATTTTTGAATTTGCCTATTCCTAACGCTACAGAGGAGAATTAGGGCCACATTAAGAAAAAAACATATATTATTGTTCATTTTGAAATTTTGAAATTACACTAGACTCACTATTTAGAGCGTAAAAAAGTAGAAATACTGTTTTGAAAAGAAAAAAGTCAAAATGTGGAGATTTAAGTTGTCCTTTCAAGCCAAATTCCTTCCATGGCTGCTGTGCTCTGCAAAATGCCTTCACCACAGAACACCAGACGTGGCAGGCCCGCCATCAGAGCTCGGCTCTCTTCACAGATGAGAGCAGGTTCACGCTGAGCACTTGTGACAGACATGAAAGAGTCTGGAGAAACCGTGGCGATTGTTAAGCCGCCTGCAACATCATCCAGCATGACGGGTTTGGCAGTAGGTCAGTGACGGTGTGGGGAGGCATGTCCTCCTTTGTGTTGGTGAATGCCACACGGTGCTGGGTATGTGAGCAGACGTCCCACTAATGGACGTCAGGACCGCATGGAGTCTGTGCCCGACGAGTAACCCGCTGGTGCTCGTTTTGCACGTCTCTCGGGGCGCGCCTCCTATTCCTCCTCACACACAGCAGCAGATCCTGAGCCTTAGGATGGTGTCTCCTCCACACTCTTGACACAGGATGCTACTTTGCAACCTGAATATGCCGCAGGTTATCTTTCCTAAGCGGACAGATTGACATCTCAGAAGTTTAACTGACTTTGTGTTTTAATGCTTTTTTACAAAATCCTTTAGTTGTTTTTCTACATTAAATTAATCACATTCTCAGGCTTCAAACAGCAACATGTAGTGATGAAAAGAACCCATAAAGTGTGAGCGGTGTGTGTTCGAGGAGATGTGTGGCAGACGCTGAAGGAGCAGGTGCAGAGTGGACCGGCGGGTTCACAAAGGCGAGGAGCTGATTGGCAGGACTTTGCAGAAAGCTGACTGGCTGGCACACGCGGGATTCTGGAGTGCAGAGAGTTTGGAAACCACAGAGAAAAAAG